CGGCGGCAGGCGCATCAGAGAGGTGTCGACGACGTCCGCAGCCTCGGGCCTCTGGCAAGCTCGGAGGGCCGACCTATACTGCGACGACTTCCCCTCTAGCGGGCGCCGTGGTTCGACCCTACCTAGAGAGGGACCACGCGTGGCCTAGTGGCACATTGCTCCCACCCGCCCCCCTACCACGGCTGGGTGCCCAAGCTTTAAAGGCAGGACAAGGCCGTAGGGTCGGGGCTACAGAGGGGGCGGGGGTTGAAAAAAGACTAAGAACTGCACCGAGCCCCAGGCAGCGGAGAGGAGAAGGGCGGGGAAAGAAAGGAGCCAGCCAGCCAACCAGCACGCACGGAGGGCAAGCGAGGAGCAAGCGAAGCAAGGGAGCAGCGGAAGAGAGCACGGCAACAAGCAAGCGGCACGAGGAGCCGCCTGGGGTCACGCAGCCCCAAGGGACCCAAGGGGAAAACTACCAAATGCACCTGGGCAGGCGGCCCACGAGGGCCCTGGAAAACGAGCCAGGCACTCGCGGGGGTTAACTCTCAACACCCCGTACGGAGAGGACCTCGACGCAGAAAGTAAAATTAGTGGCCCCGAGGTCTCAGTCCCAAAATGCTTAGGATGCTTCGGAGGGGGAGGGAGGCTTCAGACGAGGAGGAGGGGTGAATCGGGTCGGCGCCAGCCGCAGGCTCAAATCTCTTGGGTTCGATCCGACCTCTGGGTAGCGGAGCGAATCAGATTCAAGGTCTGTGGTGCCGTCAGTGATCGAGAGGAGGATAACATCGGGCTCGTTGAGGGCTGCCTGGTCTCCCGAGTGGTTAGCCTTCGGGTCGACGGAGAATGCTGAGTCTCTGCTGTCTGGCGAGGGGTTCCTGCTGCGCTGACCTCGTCGGTGTCCGTCTTCGTCATGATTCCATCGCATCGAGATGCACTTGGAGCAGCCTGGCGTTGTGGGACCTGGGCGGCGCTTCGAACTTGTGGACCCCGCCGAGCTGGGTCGAGGAGGAGGAAGAGGAGGAAGAGGAGGAGGAGGAGGAGGAGGAGGAGGAGGAGGAGGAGTTGGAGGAGGAGGAGGAGGAGGAGGAGGAGGAGGAGGCGGAGGAGGAGGAGGAGGAGGAGGAGGAGGAGGAGGAGGAGGAGGAGGAGGAGGAGGCGGAGGCGAAGGAGGACGAGGAGGAGGAGGAGGAGGAGAAGGAGGATGAGGAGGAGGAGGAGGAGGAGGAGGAGGAGGAGGAGGAGGAGGAGGAGGGAGGAGGGAGGAGGCGGCGGCGGAGGAGGAGGAGGAGGAGGAGGAGGAGGAGGGAGGAGGAGGAGGGAGAGGGGGGGGGGCGGAGGAATGGTGAGGGGGATGGGTGAGGGGGATGGGGAAGCGAGAGGATGGGGGGAGGGGGCGGGCTAGGATCGGCGGTTCAAATATTGGGCCCTGAGGGATGGGGCCCTGAGGATAGGAACGGACCCGAGGTTGGACTTCCATTTGTAGGGCCCCACCCCACACGGCCCCAACTTTTGTACCACCGCAAGGAGGGGAATGGAAATGGGGCGAGAGGGAGCCGCTGAGGGATCCGAGTGCCGCAGTCGATCGCGCCTGAGGTCGCCGGCGCCCTCGCTTCTGGGATGGGTACTCCCTCCCCACTGCGGAAGGCTTGAGACACGCTCCTCTCCCACCAACCCTTGCCCTTGGCGTGGCGCTGCGATGGGAGGAGGCCCCCCCTCTCCTCCCGTGCCTCCGACCTCACCTTTCCCCTCCCCCCGCTTCCCTCTTCACCTAGCCAGCAGAGGCGGTAGTCCGTGTTGCCGTGCGATCGTCGTAGTAGTTCTCACGTTGTTTCATCGCGTCCCGGTCAAATTCGATCCAGTCCAATCCTCCCTCTCCTTCGTCCTGGGCCCCTCGCCCCACACGAGGGGCGTTGGAGGGGAATGTGGGAGGATGAAACATTAGTGGTGCAGCGAAGGTCTCCGACGTACGACCGTTTTGGGCGGCCGTGAGAAATACGTGGCTTTGCTGGGTGATGCCTAGGTTGACCACAACGACGACATCGCTCGAGGTGAGATCATGCGGGGCGATGGTGCCCCATGTCGATTTGGGTTGGGTGATTGCCAGAATGACGTTGATACGGGCTGCCGGTGAGTCGACGCTGACGACGGTGCCCACGACGACATTGACGACGACCCATGCTGTGAGTCGTGGGAACTTCGCAGATTTGTTGCTCTTGTACGGTAGGTTTGCGTCGTGTCGACCAGCGGCGACCCCAGCGCGGGCGTTCAAGGTTGAACGCCGCCGGCGACCCAGAATCGATCGATGTTGAACGATCGGACGTTGCGGCAGCGGCCGATCGTTCAAGGTTGAATGATCCCCGCGGTGTCGAAAGCCAACGCTGGGGTCGGCACGACACGAACCTGCCGTAGTCGTGGTCATAGGCGCTAGGGTTGCCAAACGAGTCAGATACGGTGCACTGCGGACGGCGTTGCATGACGTAAGCAAGGAGGGAGGTTGTTCTCCCACCGACCATACGGACCGCCGGCCCGCTTGTGACCACATTTGGCGCTGCCTTTGCATCCATCGTCGTCGTCGTCGTTGTCGTTGTCGTCGCCGTCGTCGTCGTCGTCGTCGTCGTCGTCGTCGTCGTCGTCATCGTCGTCGTCGTCGTCGTCGCCGCCGCCGCCGCCGCCGCCGCCGCTGCCACCGCCGCCGCCGCCGCCAGCGTCGTCGTTGTCGTCGTCGTCGTCGTCGTCGTCGTCGTCGTCGTCGTCCCCACTGGGTCATGATATCTCAGCCCCACCAGCCCATCCTCCTAGGTGGGGATAGGCCCCGCGAAACCATAAGGTATCCAGCTGCCTACGGCAAGTCCCGCCATCGTGCCTCGGTTGTGGGTTATAGGCCTTCTGGATGTTCGTTGGGATATCGTGGGGGCTCTTTCGGGGGCCTGTTGGAGGCAGGTTTGAGGACTCTTGGGGGCCGTCTAGGGGTCTTTTTGGGGCCTATTTGGGCCCTCTTTGCGGCCTCTTGGGAGCCTCTTGGAGGCATCTTGGGGGCTTTTGGAGGCCTCTTGGGGCCTCCTGGGGCCCTTTTCGGGCGGAAGGCTGGAATCGTCGGTTAGTGTTTCCCCTCTTGGGGCGGCCGTCCTGGGGCTGTCTTGGGCGTCTCTTGGGCCTTTCTGGCGCCCTCTTGGGCCGTCTTGGGACCCTCTCGGGGGCCTCTTCTGCCATTTAGGGGCGGTCTTGAAGGCGATGACGTGAACATTTTGACATGATGAAGATCGTTGGCTTTTGCCTCTTTGGGCCTTCTTGGAGGTCCTCTTGAAGCGCCCTTGGGGCTTTTTTTGGGGGCCTCTTGGGCCGTCTTGGGGCCATCTTGGGCGTCTTGGAGCGCTCTTGGCTTGTCTTGGAGGCCTCTTTGGCAGCCACGGTGAGCTTCTTGGGCCGTCATGGAAGATTTGGAGAGCCCCAGGGAAGCGCTATGGCCGCCCAGGGACCTGCCGGTAATAGAGGCGATGCAGTCAGGTGGGTGCTACCAGAGCGGGTGGGGGGTCCCTTGGAAGACTACAGAAACCCTGCCAGGCAGCCCTTGGCATCCTTCCACACCTCAACGTGTCGTAGGCACGGTGGCGGATGCGCGCACATGCCCACCTGGGTGGGCAAGTCGGCCAGTGTGGCCGAGGCCACGCCTGTGGGGATAGGGATCTGTTCAGCGATGTTCACCCTGTTACTAGGAGCCCTGGTGCGCGCCACTCGCCTGCCACACTTCGTTCGCTTCGCGCACGGCTCTCAGTGGGCAGCTCAGTCCCAGAGCGAGGGGCGGCGAGCGCGCGACGGGCGAGATTCCGAGCAGCGATGCCCGGGCACAGCCGTGGCCACGCCCAGAGATTGCGCGCGAGGGCGTGGTGGCATTCTCTCGGGCCCAACGGGCGAGGAGAGGAAGGATAAGGCGGTCCATCAGCAGGTTCCACATTAATATAAGCATCTCTCCTTCTCCTCCTCCTCCTCCTCCTCCGCCTCCTCCTCTCCTCCGTAGCCATTTTGGCTCAAGATGCTTTGTTCCGCAGGGGAACACGTGGATACCGCTAGTCCGCGGCCAGTGCCAGGGCTTCCTAGCCCGACAGTTTTGTTCAACGCTCCCCGTGCCTCCTGCTGCCCGCAGGTGAGCACTCTCGGTTCTTCAGCTCGTCCATGGCACCTCAGCAGCAGCGCAATGGTTACATCAAGTGCTACTCCTGCTCGTACGCCTGGAACTGGAAGAGCAAGCAGGCGTGCCACTGGTGTGGCAAAGCCTTGGCGCCGTGGACTGACGTTCCTCCTCCAGTGCAAGGTGCTTGGGCGGCCCGCGTCTCTGCCGCTGTCCAGGCCGAGGCCAAGAACACCCAGCCGACCAACGCCGAGGGAGGTTGGGAGCCGTGGTCATCCTGGCCCAAGTCCCGCCGCCGCCGTGGTAAGGGCAACGGCAAGGACCAAGACGAAGACTGGTGGGCCAGCAAGAACGACACCCCCAAGGCCCGCTCCGCCGAAGACATCCTGGCGGAGCTCCAGGCAGTCGCTCCTCACATCGACAAGGCGGCCATCGACGGCATCAAGTCGCAGATCCCGCCGCCCCAGCCGCAGAAGCCTGCCGACCTCGACGAGATCTACAGCCGCGCCCAGGCTACGGAGCGCCGCTGCAAGAACAACCTCGAGAGGCTGCTGGAGAGCGAGCAGAAGGCGCTCAACTGGTACACTGAGCGCAAGCAGGCGTCGGAGGAGGCCGCCTACAAGTTGGCTGAAGCACAAGCGGAGGCCCAGGCGGCGCTCGACGCCCTCCAAGCCGCCCGCAAAGGCGGCACAGCCACTCCCATGCAGACGCAGCATACCCCGACCTTCAACCTCACCAGCCTCCTGGAGGACGGCGACATCTCCATCGAAGCGGGTGCTGCGTTCGACCTCCAAGGCCTCGACGTCGACGACAACGACCGCCAGGCCTGGGAATCCCTGCAACAGCGCTTTGCCACGGAGCTCAAGGCCAAGGTCACCGAGCTCTTCGGCAACACCGCCAGCCACGTCAGCCAGCTCCGAGCAGAGGCCAGCACCATGCGCACGCGCTTCGCCCCCAAGCGGCAGCGCGCCGACGAGGACGGGCACGCCAGAGCGGGCGGTGGTTCACCGCCTGCCGCCGCGGCCGCAGCAGGCGAACCCCCAGCGGCAGCGGCAGCTGACGCTGAAGGCGCGGCGCCCTCACCGCCGACGGCGCCAAGCGACGGGCCTCCTGCGCCTGCTGCTGGCGCTGCTACTGACGGCGGCTATGTCACCCAGCCTGTACCTGCACTCAACAAGGACCCCGACCTCGAAGACAAGGCTCAGAAGATGCTCAGCCAGATGCGCAAGCCCACCGCGGCCGCCGCCGCTGGGCCGCAGCAGCCTCTTTAGCCGACTACAACACATCCCTGGACGGAATGGTGAGACGGGGCGCCTACCGTCAGAGACCACGCTTTACGACAACCCAGCGATCATGAACACAATGGACGCAGTCCTCGACCCGTTCGACGAGCTGGCCGAGTTGGACGCCCACTTCGATTACGCCGAGTCCGAGCAGTACGCTACCGCCCCGCCCGAGACGCTGTCCTCGGTGGGGGGCGATGAGACGGCCCAGACCGTCGACCACCCCGTGGTGTGGGGCCCAGGACAGCCACAGCGTGATGCTCGGTCTGACCCTGATGCCGCTCCGCCCGAGATGCGGTCCTCGGTAGGGAGCGATGAGACGGCACAAGCTGTCGACGTTCATGTGGTACTGAGACCAGGGGAGCCTCCGCCAAAGGCAAACCCTGATGCCGCTCCGCCCAAGACGCAGTCCTTGGTAGGGGGTGGTGAGATGGCGAAAGCTGTCGACAGTCCTGTAGTGTTGGGGCCATCGAAGCCCAGCAGCAGTGTGAGAGCCTATCCTACACCTGCCAACCAGGAGAAAGGCCCTACGAAGTTCCCGCAGTCTGACCACTCCCTGTTTTTCTCCAACATCACACAATGGGGACCACAGTCTGAGAAATGGTTGGCAGGCCCAGGCAAGCAATATCAGATGGTAGCCCTAGTCGGAACACACATCTTGCCTGAAAAAGCGCCGCTCATCTACGACAAGATTGCAGCGGATGGTTGGAGAATATCACCGACTACGGCCACCCCTACCAGAAGATCGGACGGCGGCAACACGGGTGGCGAGATCATCCTATCCAGGTACCATGTCCAGGCCACCTCGTTCAACCATCTCCGAGATCTTGCCATTTCTCAGCGCAGGCCTGACCCCTTCCTCGGCTTCACGCCCATGGTTTGGCACAGACGCTCTGGCAATCTGGTTGTTATTGCTGCATATCTGGAACCCCGCAGGCAGATCGAGGGTGCTGTGCACGACAAGCTGCTCTCGCTGGGAGCCTTCGTTGCCATGCTGACAGACCCTTGGATCATTTTGGCGGGCTGGAATATGACACCCGAGCAGCTTGCAGCGACAGAGTGGCTGGCCAAATGGAATGCTACCATTGTGCGAGCACCTGGATCAGCCACCTGCGACAAGGGCCAGGGGCTCACGCTAGATTTCGCACTGGTCAAGACCGGCATCGAGCACACCATTTCCATGCGCCAGTGCCCCACTGTACCGTGGGCCACCCACGTTGGCCTCGAAGTTCGAGCAGGCAGTGCAGATCCTTGGTGGTATCAGTCTATCGATACCCCCAAGGCCTTCCCCACGGCGGACAGGCCCAGGATACCACCAGACCCAACAGCAAGACCGCCATTAAGAAACGTAAAGCAGCTGAAGCTCGAGCAGCTCGTCTTCGCGATCTACCTCCTGAACTTCAACCAGCAGCAGCACAGCTTCAGCCACAGGTCGAGCCCGCAGCGCTGGATCCTATCTCCTACGCCATCCCGCTGGACTTGTGGCAAAAGCAATGGCAGGAGGCGTTGCCCACACCTTGCAAGCAGCCGCACGCGCACTTCGTGTACCGACACTGGGAGCACGACGCCGACCTCCTCAACCTCAAGTACGCCAAATGGGTCTCGGTACTCGAGAACACCATGATCAGCCACCACCAGATCGACACGAAGGAAGCCGCAGCATACACTGGCCGTGCTCAGGGCTACCAGCTATCTTGGAAGAAGACAGCGGCTGCTCCAGGCCGCGTGCACGTACATGATCCACATGCGGAATGGTGGGCCATTACGCTCACCCTCATCAAGCGCTACGCCGCGCTTTTCGACAAGCCTAAGCATGCAGCGCTTATGGAGCAGCAGGCCAACATCATCCAGCAGCGCGCCGACCACTTCAACAGCCACATGCATGACCTCCAGTTCGAGAAGGATGAGGATACCATCTTCCGCTGGTTCGCGCTCGTCTGGGCCCCGCACCTGGACGAGGATGACACCGACGACCTGGTCACTATTACCGCTACCTGGGCCTCCAGAGCCCTCTCGGCCGCCCTCGCCAAGTCCAAGAGGGCCTACGGGGCTTGGCTCGCCCAGCAATGGAAGCACCGTCCTGGAGTATTACACGCCCATGTTAAGCCT